TGCGACACGTATTAAGAAATTTCGCGCCGCGCGCTTAACGTCGTTAGGATAACTTCGTCGCCGTTAATCCCGCGTGTAAAATGAGCTCTGTCACGGAGACCCCGCGGCGGCAGAGATCTCGAAGCCGTGGGCCTCGTAACGCGGAATCCGCGACCGCGTGAAATTCGCAGCGGCGAAAACGCCGGATGGGTTTATTACGCGCCGTGAATGTTTATTCCAAATAATCCCTGGCGATTGACTCGGACAAATATTTGCGCGCCGCTCGGCGCGGCCGAGAAAGGGCGGCGGAACCGAACAACAAATAACCGGGAAACAAATTGACGCCCGATGGAAAACGAAAGAGGATCGAACGGGATTGTTTCGCCGTTGTCGTCGCCATCGTCGGGCGAAAGAGCTCTTCCTTTCCGCCTATCAATTCCCCGCGTTCTCTCATCGAGCCCCGACGCACTCGCTGTCCGCCAGGGCGAGAGGAACGTAAGGGCTCCCCGGCACATCGAATTCTTCAGTCGTTAGGCGCAGAGGCTGTAATTGACGTGGTCGAATAATGGAGTGCTGCCAACGCGTGTATGTGTACGTGGGCACAAAGGGTGGCGAAGGGGTGACTTAAAAACGAGAGAGAGATAGAGAGAGACGCGGACCAAGCGTGTTGAAGGGTACGTTGGTCGGCCAAGAGCAAAGTTCCTTGCGATCCGAAAGGGAGGCAGAACGTTTTTATCCCGTTTCGAACCCCTCCGTCTGATCAGGAAAGCCTCTCACGACACGAGTGATTTATTCCCTCCATTTCTGGGGATTATTTTATATATCCAGAGCCCCTCTTCCTCTCTCTCTCACTCTCCAGAGCGCACACATCGCGGATTTCCCCGGTCGTCGTCGCCGTCGCTCGCGAGACTCTCGCCCGACGAAATCACCCGTCGATACGTCCAAGATCCCCCGATTCACCCGCGGTTTTGTCGAGGCGGCGGGAGGAGGGAAAAAAATTCCGCGAACTCCTGACGCAGCGAGCCGCGGCTCGTGTTCGTGTCGGGAAAATGGGGACGCGTTTATTAACCCTTATCGGGTTGTCCATCGCTGTGTCACTGGACACGCCACGTAAGAAAACGAGCGTGTAACAGCGAAGTAAAGATCTCCACCCGACGTCACAAGTTACATAAAAAGAAACCTAGTTCCATGCGATGACATAAAGATTTTTCTTCTTTTTTTCTCAGGAAAATCAATTCACTCCGCAGAGCATAAAGATCGCGCCGTTACGCGAGCGACGGCGGCGATTGTCAAGGCAGATTTAACGTCGAATGCGCGAAACGGATGCGATTCCGCGTCGATTGTACGCGGATTCCTTTCGCGGTGGAGAACGGGCGCGCGCCATGACGGTGCCATAAGTCCCGAGATTTGAGAGATACCGGCGGCGGGTTCCGGTAAATCACCGGCGATCACTCACGAGATTCCGCGAGATAAGAAGCGTGCGAGGCGTATCCCGCGCCGTCTCGCCGACTGGGATTTCTTTCGCTTCATTTCTATCTTTGGCGCGGAGCCTCGACCGGAGGCGGCGATCGGCGCGGCCGGGCATTATAAACGACGGGGCAAAAATAAGCGAGAGAGCGCGCGCGATGTCGCGCGGGGATCTGCTCGTTGAATTAACGATGGCCGGCGAGCCGCGTTTGATGGATTCTCGCCGGTCAAGGCGCGCACGTGCCGCAATGCTATTTCGTTTGTCCCGGTTGTATCTGATTATCGTTCACCGACTTTCGCGCGCGACACACCGGCGTTCCGCGCGAACCATAAATCTTGCGGCGCGAAAAGGCCGCAGCGGCGGCGCGCTGCATCGGCTGCGGACGGAGGCGATATTGCGACGCTCTCAACGTCCTCGTCGTCCTCGTCGTCGTCGTCGTCGTCGCCGAGAAACGCGAGCTTTCACGACGCGCCGAGGACACTCGAATGAAACCCCGAATGAAATACTGCGACTCGTAAATCAATCTTGCTAGTTCCATAATGTAAACGTGTGACCGTACGTACCGTTAACCCATCCCGAGGACAGTTATCCCCTTTCGAGGTCGACAAAACGCTGGCTCGAAAACAGATCAGTAATGCGAATTCGATTTCTAGCTCAATTCCGTTCTCCGTCCATTTGGACTCGCATCCCCGGAATCCCCCGGTGACTGTGTCTGGAGCAACGGCGACGTTAAACCACGTTTTTAACGTGTATTTAGATTCCGCGTTCGTAATTGAATTCGCGACAGAATCTTTACGCATTACCGAATAAACGTTTAAATATTGTGAAACTGAAATCGCGATATTACTGCTAATTCCCTCCTCGCCGTGCCCTCCGGCGAATTCTAAAGAAACATTTCTCGTAATTCACAACGAGACGCAACGAAACGGCGTGGTCGGTCCCCGCCCCAATAATGTCTGCGGCGACAAAAAGCGACAATGCGAGCTAAGTGACCGTTCCGACCATTATAGCGTTAAAGTGCCGGGAAATGACGTCGCCGTGCGCGCACGCAAGACATCGGTGTATTCATGGCGTTCGTAGGAAGGAGGCGACGCGTCCCCGGGATCGGGGCGAAAAAGAGGGCGACTCGCAACAAATCATCCGATATCTTGGAAGCCATGCGCGCTCCACGCCAGCTCTTGGAGCGAACCCTTCGAAGGGAGAGAGAAAGAGAGAGGGAGGGAGGGAGAGAGAGAGAGAGAGAGGGTGCCCGGGTGGTAAGAACTTTTCTTATTTACGAGCGAGCTTATTTCCTCGGGCTGCTGCATATGGATATCAGGCCAGCAATGCCTGCGCCGCGCCGCGAGGATGTGAGGACGGCAACGGGCGAAGCGCGTGCAACTTTAATGGCGGAGCTTCCAGGCCCTTCCGCGTCACTGGTCGATTCGTTCCTCCTGGAGGGCCGCTTATTTGAAAACTCGCGAGGGAACGTATCCGGCGCGCGTATATGTGCAGCATTAAAATATATATACGTACAGACGCTTACGTACACGTATCGATGTTGGGAGAATAAGTTTTCACCGAAACAAAGCCGCGAACGTGAGTCGCGCCGAGTGACAATGCTCGATTTATCGCTCGGTGCCGCGCACACGTGCACACGGGAGGCGAGCGAGCGGTAGTATTTCGCACGATCGGGAAAACCGCTTCCTGACAGTCGCGAGGAAAGAACGGTCGCGCCCTGACACGATTTGCAAAGAGATTTCGTGAAAAGGGGACCACGGGGCGAGAGCGACGCCCCATTTTTTACGGCGAGTCTCCCCCGCGGCGGACAGTTTTCGGCGTTCCCGTAGGAATTTTAACGCGGCGTTGCCCGCTGCTTAAGACACTGTTAAACCACCTCGCAGTACACTTATTTTTACGACTCGGACTTCCCCTCGCGTAACCGTGAAAACTTGCGCTCTTTCGTCCGAAAGTCGTCCAATAAAGTCGAGCTACGTACTTTAAGGTACTGTTTCCCCGCGCAGGAGAGTGCACCGGCGAAATCGCGCTTAAGAAAATTAACCTCCGTGAAAAAGCCAAAGAGCATTTTCGTCAAGCGTGCCATATTCACTTGCCGAAATGAGAACCGTATTTCGCAGGGCGACGCGGTTCCCGCCGACTCCCTAATTAGAAAGAAGGTTTTGACGCCAACGAAATGAGCTCGAAAGTACGAGGAGACGGAGATCAAAAATGTCACTAGCCTTTGATTACGATTCTCCAAGTTGGAGTAAAATGTTGCCGGTGAGGCCACTCGAGTTTGTTAGCTATTGTTGCTTCTGGATAAATCAACCACGAGGTGTTGCATTGGCAAACGCGACTGGGTACGCAACTCATTATCTCGATCCTTTTTAAAAGAATTTTCGGTCACCGAGACGATTACAAGGGAATAGCCTCATCATTTATTTATAAATTGCAATCCTCTCATTTTTGTTAAATGCTATGTTATATCGCGCGTACTATTTAGCTTTTCTTAGCAGAAGATAGTTGAGAAGTTGTACGATTATATGCAATCGTACAATAGGCAAAATAATGTTTCGAACAATTGCTCAAAACTCGGCAATATAACACATACACACCGAAATAATAAAAAGTCAATATATTAAAATATGTGGATAGATTGTAAAAGATTAAAATAAAATTGGTGCAACATCAGAATGAATGTAACTAACAATCGTAAATACAAAAACAAAATGAGAAAATATATTTTCTACGTTTCTCTTAATTCTGTGATACTCGAATAATAATAAATTCTCTAAATTTCTGTTTTCTCGCGTCAATTTCTATAAGGTATAATCTTAGAAAATTGTAATGAGATCATGAAGGAAATTATCAATAGAAAGAAAAATTAAGTAACACACCTCTCTCTCTCTCTCAACTATTAACTAATCTATCAATACATATTAACAATTTTCTCTAACCTATTTTATTATTACATGTTACTTTATTTTTATTTTATTTAAATACATTTAATATACAAAGAAATATATTTCATTTCTTTATCGTTCATCGTCTAAAAGACGAATACCACGACGAATTTAAATAATAGTTTTATACCGACAAAAATATTAATACTCTATATTTGTTATAATTTTATTTTTCCTCTTTTATCGTTACTCATCTAAATAATAAATTCAATAATTTAATTATTTATGACATATATAAGATCATACTATTAATTGCCCAAGTTATTAATATAATATTTCACCGTGGTATTTATCTCTTAAAATAAAAATGTATAATATCCCCTTTGCGTCTTTTGAAAATCTTATATTAAATAATTATCTCTGTTTCATGATCTTAATGTGTATGTGCGAACGCACACAAGTCGAGTAACTTTCCAGTATTCCCATTTATTCTAATCTGTTCCGATCTATCCACTTTCAAGCAATGGATCTGTGAAAACTTATCTGTTCATTTGCCAAAATTTACGATCCTAATCTTTAACCCTACGTAAAAATTTCAATGTGCATTGTACATAACATCTAATGCGATTGTTATACAGATCCATTACAATTTAAAATAAATCACCACTCACCGATACGCCCGACAGCGGAGTTGTAGACTACGTTGTAAATTGTGAACTGTAAAGTATATAAGAATATCACTGTTAGAGAGTAATTATTCAAAATCGAAATTATACACTGAGAAAAATTTCCATCGGATAAACCAATTAAGTAGCGTTTCCGATGGTTAATTTTTCCGATTAAATTATGTATCTACAACCGATGAAATTTATCCGATGAAATGCAGTTACCGATTAAATTTTATTGAAAAACCGATCATATTTTTCATAGAATATACAATTTAATTGGATATATCCGTTTGTTATTATGTAATTGAATTATCCGATTATATTTTATATTTTCTTTGTAACTCTTATTCGAATCATTGAAATGAATAAGACAAACGGAGAGCGGATACTTAATTTCGCAACTAACAATTAATTTTGCAAATAATATATAAAATTGACCAGACTTACCTCAAGGTTGCTCCGCTGTTGCCCGATGCCTCCCAGGCCACCGCCTCCTCTCAGTTTCCTCGTCCCACTCACACAGTATTCACTCGCGAAAATGATTAATTGCGATCGCGCGAAATTTCACGTGGCACTTCCGTACGCGACCTGAAACACCGCAAAACGCACAAAGTATTACTAGCATATGTCGTGTGACTTTCCATCATGCAAATCATTTAAACCGGTAACTCGCGTGTCACCTCGGGTTCCCGTTTCAAAAGTAGCAATGGATAAATCGCTTTTAAATTGGCAATAAAACGCGACGCAAGTATCGGAATCCAAGCATTTACGATAAAGTAGTTATTAATTTGTAACGAGACGATATTTTACAATCTTTACTGTCAATCAATCTAATCCTTACGCGAAATGAATTACGCGAGCGAAATATCCACTCTGACAAATGGCCGTTATTAATTGTAACAGTTAACTCTGAGATAATTGTCGATCACATTTCGAGATATAACGTAACGACGTGCAATAAGCGACTTTCTCTACTTCCTGCCTGTTCGAGTTGCGGAGTACGAATTACGGCCAACAACGCAAATACCAAAGCCATACCAATAAATTTTCCTCTTTTCCCGAAAATGAAAAGCAGATTACACTGAAATCGGCAGATAATTCGAAGCGCGATGCGTAAACGAGATGTAATCGCGACGGAGTATCACGGTTTACGTTCAGAGTTTAGATGAGTTAGTCCCGTGAAATATCTACGTCGATACAAAAGCCGTCGCCTCAACGTGCAAATATCTTCTCGTTACAAATTGTAGAAACTAATAATTTAACGAGGAACCTTACTTGTTATACTGATAAGCGTGTACCAATTAATAGCGTTTTATCTCCGTGCTAATCGCGATCGCGTCTCGGAAAGCGATAACGGAAAAGTAATACGACGCACAGAGTACTTTCGACGCTGCCGGCCGGCTCGAGGTTCGGCGAGCGAATGATAACGAGGCGACCTTCAAGTAAACAAACGGTCGGCGTAACGTCGCACGATGCCGCGCGAGGCGTAAAACAACAAAAAAACAACCACGAACGTTGAAGTTCATTGTCCCGTCTACAAAATTCGAAATAAATATACGATGAAAATGCTATGCCTAAGAAATTCCAATTACTTTGTTGAGTAATTACGCATTTTACTTATCATTCTGCGGACCCATTAATATACCGAGATAACGATTGGCTCCGTTTAATCGAGAAAATGTTTCAACACGAAAATCATTGTTATTCGAATTCTGATTATTGAGAGATTTCGCTTTGAGTTTAGTTAAAGTTTACAAATGTATTACTTAATTGCCAATCTTAATTTATCGTGAGCGAATTACTTAATTCTTTGCTTTAATAATAGTATATAAATTGATCGATATTACTTTAAAAAGATATAGCATTGTGCGCGCTATTTAGTTTTGATTTATATTTGTTCGTGATTTTCTTCATGCAAAGAAGACGCAGAGAATAAATCGGCATCGTGAAACACCGTCAACAATTACGTAAATCTTTTACATTTCGGTAAATATATCGATGAAGGG